CAGGTCATGGGATGTCGCTGCAATCAGTAATACCCCAGCCGAAAGTTGATAAAACATTTATATTCTGGTGTGTTTTATTTTTTTCCCTTGTAAGTTAGTACTTTCATTTTTCTTGATTCAGTCACTAGTTGGTTGAAAATTAACTAGTCTAACAAAAGAGCCCTATTGAGCAATGCACATTTACAATCATGGATGAAGATAGCATCCAATCACTTTTCTTCGAGGCTACAAAGGTTATGAAACTCAAAACGGCTTCAGGTATCAAGTTGTAGTAGTAAACAGATTAATGTATAATTATTTGCATACAATCTTTACGTATTTTTCTGCACCAATGCAAAACTTAATACACAGAGGATAAAAAATAAGCCATCTGTATTTATTCTCAAGTTTTGTTCCACTGGGGAAGTTTTCTATGAAAATTTTTTAAGTTTCCCTAATTTGTTTATTAGCTCAGACGAGCGTTAGGCACAAACGGCTATTAGTCTCAAAACGGCATTTTGCGTCGTTTCACTTTCTGCGTAGATACACTTTTCAAACTATTGCCACCAAATATTGTAGCCATGTATTAATATACTTAAAGGAACTAAATAATGAAGAATCTGCATGACCGTATGAATGTTTCTCTCATTGTGAAAAAACAACGGTATCTAGAGCCATCAAATTTTGAATAACGTAGTTCTCCAACCAAACATGGAGAATTGGAATCCCGAATTTTGAATTTGTTTTATTAGCTATTTCAAATTTTGTAAGACCTTAACGAATTTTTGATTAACAAACTCAAAAATTTCAGAGCAAGCAATGGCAACACTGTACGAAAAAAAATTATCTCCAGCGCACGGAAATTCTAAAGGTATGCTCTTTTGCTGTTGTTAAATATTTTGTGATATTGCTGTTGAATTGAATTTCATGTAGTTTAAGTGCGAAGAAAATGATATTTAATAAATAAAGGTAACACACAAAACCTTGCATAGAACGCCCTTTTGAGCAAAATATAAAATCTAAAAGCTTTCAGATTTCCTTTTTATAATATACTTTTACAATTTATTATGCTTTGTAATTTTGTTATGTTAAAAGTAAGTTATTTAGCGGCTAACTCAGAATATTCAATACTTTTGGGGAAAATATAAAATCTGAAAACTTTCAGATTTTCCTTTTATAACATACTTTTACAACTTATTATTTTTTGCAATATTTTAAGCTTTACGTTAAAAGTAAGTTATTTATCGATTATTTCAGAATATTCGAGCTATTTGAAATAAATGCCAAACCAAAAATTTAATATTTATTTTTAGTACATTTGCATTACGAAATGCAACCAACAGAAATTTGCTACAGATAAAAATTCAGCATGATAAATTTGAATTTTTCTGTTGCATTATTATTAATATTGTTTAGTACATTTTTGAAATACTTAGTAAGTGAAATTTAAAATTAAATTTTAAATTAAATTAAAAATTATTTAGTTATTTGAAATTTTGTTAAAAATTTCTGCCGCTTTACAGCTAACTACAGGTCATTCACGTAGCCCGCATGCTATTTGAATCAGAGTGCCCTGTATTAGCTGTTAAGTCGTAAACAACATTTTCTATTTGTGGTTTTACCTTATTTTAGTCAGGTAATTTTAAATAAGTCTGGTAGTTTCCTCAGTGATATTCACATATTTAGACGTTATCCCTTTGTTTGTAATTGTATTAATTAAGTTCATCTCTTTCAACTATTCTAACTATATCTAGTTTTGGCTTTTGGTGAGTCCAGTGATACAGAAGCGAAATAAATCGCACTCTGTAAAGAAAGATATATTACATTACGCGTTCAAAATGTCATTTTTCTGAGATATATTTTCGTACCTGAAAAACGACTTTCACTGCCAGGCATGTGCTGTTCATTTTTCTTGGCGTCCTAATCGTATGCCGTTAATCCGATTAGCTGTGAAGTTTCGGCAGTTCGCCTAATCGGATTAATCTCTCCCAAACTATAAAACTTTCTCTTGAAATGTCTTAAGAATCTACCGTCAAAACTTCCCAGCTTACCCTGTGCCAGCAGTTAGGACAAAGAGAAATGGACGGGAGTCAATATCCGATAAAAGGACATTTAGGCTCTTAAGAATATTTTGCAGTTTTTTTCTTTTTTTTTTTTTTAATCTGAAACTTAAACTTTAGACTTGACGAATTACTAACAGTGGACTCCTGACAGAAACTGTACACACTGCTAATGATATGGGGTATACTAGACGTCTGGTTGAACTATAATAAAAAAACATTGAAGGAATAAAGTTCTTCAGAGTAAAAAATTACACTTAAAAAAATTGTACCATTGCCAACGCTTAGTTAAAAATTTTTAATTCTTTAAATAACGTTTTTAGAATAAAATGAGCGTTTTAAAGATAAAACATTTTGGGTGATGATATCAGATTTCAACGATCTCCCAAAAGGCTTTGTTAAGGTCTTTTATACTCTCACTGAGTTTGCAGACTTCCAGTTTGCTGTAGAACTGACTCTTCCTTATATTCCTGTTTAATTTTCTTAGTAAGATGGCTTACAAAACTCCCCCCCTTTTTTTTTTTTTTTTGTCTTTTTGTTATCAACTTCTGCTGTGTTAAATTTCTTAAATAAATATCGTCTTCTTCGTACGTACCCCACATAGAAGCGAATTCAACAGCACAATGACAAAGTATTTAAAAATAACATATCTTTAGAATTTTCGATAGACAGTCTCGCGCGCTGGAGATAAAAATGTTTTATTCCGTACAGTGTTGCCACTGATCACTTTAAAATCGTTCAGTTTGTTAATTAAAAATTCATTATGTTTTACAGAATATGAAATATGAAATTCGAAATTCAAAATTCGGGCTCCCAGGTGCAAATGTTCTGGTGGAGGACTACGTTATTCAAACTTAGATGGTTCTATGTACCGTCGTTTCTTCAAAGAACCTACATACATTATTATGTAATTTTTTTCAAAACAAAAATCTAAAAATATGAAGGATTTCAGGTTTTATATTACGATCAAATCTGCCTTTTTTTCATTTAGTTTCGGTAGTTTCACTATAGAACAGGAAAGTAAGAAACACAAAACCCATTTCGGATGTGAACTCCTGGGGTATTTAGAGGATTCTTCGCCAATGTGGTTTAATTTACATTGTTCAAACTAAGAGAACCTTAAAACTTCGAGTAAAGAACATGAGGCATATGTTAGGAAAAAGGAAACACAGAAATCCTCTGTTGCCCAGCATTGTTGGTCGGAAAATCACTTTCCATTTTTCTGCCGCAAAAATTATTCATAAACATCTTCTGTCAGTGAATAAAGTTTCTAGAGAAGTTTCACATAAAAAAAAAAATCTTTCTGTTCTAGTTAACGACCCTAATTCCAATCCATCATTACCCTCACCCTTTAAAGAAATTATGTTTTAGTTTCCTTGTTTCATCAATATATGGCGCCAGTAGGTTACCTCCTGTTCAGCCATTCTTATCTTATCTTATCTCCGCATCTTATCTTGCTCATGTGCTCTTTGGTAGCTGAGGAAGTTGGTTCTGTAGTTAAACCATCGATCCTTGTCCTGCAAAATTTACAAATATAACGCTGATTATTGTTGTTTGACTTCTCCAATAAACAGTTCTATTGTTACACATAAAATTATGGATATACTTACTTTGAGATATTTAAAACGGCAATGGTCTCGATTTCCAGTTACTTTAGATGGGTGCCTTAATGGAGAATTTTTAAACAGAAATTAACTCATATTCATTTTACGCATAAATAACCCGAGAAACTTTTAAAGACAGTTCCTTCAACTGCCGGTAGTGAACCCTGGTTAAATTACCAATATCATTTTATAATCTACACACTGGTGGTTCTTCCGTTATAACTAAAATATCTAATTTTCTAATTACCCTTGCATGACTATAATCATATTGATTCCTGACTATAATCTTCAATCACCTTCCTTTACATACTTCAAATGTTGTAAGAACTACTTCAGATTAGAGCACTATCTTCTTGTTATAAATTTATGTATTTAGTAAATTAAAAATATCTCTTTAAGTAAAGTAGAATTATTCTCTTCGTTTTTACGAAAATTAAGTACCATTTTAAAGTTTCTAATTTTAATTTTGTAATTTTCTCAAAAGGTAAACGTAACAATTGCGACTACACGACTTTAAGAAATTTAGTTAATCAGAAAATTTTGCTTATCTTAAAACTCAAGTTCTTAAGCATTATCACAATTCATATGCAAAAAAAAAAAAAAAAAAAAAAAAAAAAAAAAAAAAAAAAATAAATAAATAATAAATAAATAAATAAATAAATAAATAATTGTTAAACAGAACCAGTGAACTTGTACTGAGGCTGAATAAAAACTCGTATTTAATCTAATTATGTATAACTTCTTATTTAAAACAATGATAAATTTATTCTAATTGTGTTAAGAAAGACTTATTTACGGCAAACACCGAATTTTGCCGTACAAATTACATTCATTTTTTAAAGTGCATAACATGGAAGTAAACAGTAATGTAAAATAAAATAAAATGAATAAGTAAATAAAACTGCATTCAAAACTTTTATTTCCAAGATTTCTTTTCTTGTTGAAAGACTTGCATTTCATTAAACGTCCTTAATAACATAAATGCGATAAATATGCAGGCTTGATTTAAGTTTGCCCAAAATTAGTTAACATAATATAATATTATTTTATTTCAAACTTATTATTATAAAAATTAGATTTTTAAGTCATCTATAATAACAAAAATATTTGAATTCATATCTGCCTTTCTATTACTAAATTTTCACTGACACTTAATGCGATATTTAGGTAAATAAAAAGTTAAAAAAAATATCAAAGTTTTTACTTCATAACATCACACAGCAATTACCAATATTACTAGGAGAGCTAAAATGTTTTAAATATTGCAAATCAATGCTTTTATTATGTTTCTATTAATAAATATCTGACACGATTTGATATAAATTTTATCTGATAAAAACTTTTCTTTTCCTTACAGTTTTTATCGATTTCAAACTGTATGCAAGATGGGAAGAAATAAAATTTATTTCTAGACAGGTAAATATTTTATTATTCATCAATACAGTCATTTGTGCTTCGTCTGTACTACTTATTAATATTTTCTATTAACAAATGTCTGCTGCTTTAATAATTTAAAATTATGAGATTTGAATTTAAGAAAATAAGTTGAGTAGCTGCTCTTTTCCTTTTAAACTTCTCAGTTTGGTAGTAGATAAGGTTTGGTTTATTTAATTATGGCAAAGCACTGGAGAGCTATCTACCTAAAGGGAGTTATGCCTTTGTGGAGGAATTTCTGAGAAAAACTGACTGGCATGCATGGAGAACACCTCATGCAGCCAGCCCGTTCGCCGGGATTCGAACCCCGATAGAACTACAGTGTTTGGTGACTTTTCCGTTTGGCCGCTGGTGATGCTCCACTAGTAGTTAATAAATAATATTTACTCGCGAAGCATTTTTACAAAATTAATTTTGAGAAGAAAATGGCTGCTTCATTATATTTGTTTTCAATAAACTGATAATTTGTAAATGCATTTAAAATTTTATATTTCCATTAAGTGCTATGTATTTCTAAGAATCATTACGAGATTGTATAACATTTATATCTGAGTTATATATTTCACATATAAATCCAATTGCTTTAGAAAAACGACCAAGAAAAAAAACTTTGAATATTTAGTTAAAGATATCTGAAAAAAAAAAAAAATAAATAAATAAATAAAAAATTATGAAAAATGACAAAAAATAAAGGCCGCACACTTGCCAAATAGGAACTAAGTCGAAAGTATTGGTCAGTTTTTTAGTTAAGTTATATGATTTGTTAGAACAGCCAAATTAGGATGCCAAAATTAAAGGGCTTAAGCGATACCACCATTTGAAAGATTTGGGCAGACAGTCAGCCTGCTCTCATTGCCTTACTATCAGAGCGATTAATAAAACTATAAGCAAATATAATTATATATATATATATATGTATATAATATTTATTTATTGCTTCATTGATTAGACAGGATTTATTTTCTCTTAGCATGGCTTATATGTGCTTATTTCGTGATACTTTTGTTTTGTAGAATTAAAATATCTGATGTGGTCACCACATGACTTCCTTGTACGGTCTATTGAATTACACACACTTTTTCTGCGCTTCGTTTAAACTTATTTCCTCGAATTTCAGCCAACGTGCAAGAAGACCAAATTTTAGGTGCAAAAAAATCAAAAGTTGACTTTTACCACAGGGAAAAAAGACATTAAAGTTGGTACAGCAACTATCTTATTTCACTATTTTATTAAGATATCTTCAGATGTAAACGAATGAAGACTTCATTAGGCCTAGTGCCACTTAAACTTTTAAATTGGTGATAATTCTAAAACTATTGAATGCAGATTAACTAAAGGCGTAAAAACCTTAACCCGAACATAAGAGCAACATAATTCAACCACTTTTAAAGTAAAAAATGCATAATTTAGCAACAGTTAAGAATAAGCATATTGAATTCAACAAGCCGGATAACAAGGTGAGAATATATATATATATACAGCGTTAAAATATTTAGTAATACAGCGTTAAAATATTTCGTGGAGCTACAGCTCCTGGTTACTTTTTAGCAAGATCGCTGCAATGTTTCTACCTACTACTATTATTTCATATCTTTTTGCAGCATTATGCGCAAAATATTTTTAAGACCAAATAAGTCTTACGTCTAATTACTTGTTAGCTTTACAATTTCTTTTTCAATTATATATATATAGAGAGAGATATAGATATATATGTTTGGCACAGCCAATTGCAATGACAAAAGCAGGTGCACATTATGTGTTATAGCAGTCTCATATGCAAAATTTCAAAGTTCTACGGCTACTCGTTTTTGAGTTATGCGAGATACAGGCATACGTACTATGTAGAGATGTCACGAAGAAATTTCTTTTGAATCGATTTTAAATCCGTTTTACAGTCCGCTTTGGAAAAAAAGGTCCTTTACTCTGTCGCTATGTTACGTCATCAAAAAAAAAAAAATTCAAATGGATTCCAGAATTGCCAAAATGGATATTTTCGTTGAAATATGATACTCGAAATTTTTCGCAATTACAATAATTCCTTTACTTCGTATAAGAAAGTTAAACGAATGAAATCATATCATTCTAGTTTGAAATAACGTAGTTAGAAATATAAAGCAAATTTCATTGTTTAATTAATATTACTAAAGGAGGCTGAGTATGTAGGTAAATATAAATTTAGGTCATGAGTATAATGTGAAAAATAAAGCCTCTGTGAAGTTCCTCGTCTCAAAGAAAAAGCATATTTGGATGTGTAATTACGGCAAAGCATTCGAGGGCTATCTGCCTAAGAAGAGGGCTGCTTTCGTGAAAGACTTTCTAAGAGAGATATAGAAGTTACGCATGCGGAAAACCACGGATATGTTCAGGCAGCCAGCCCATTTGCCGGGTTCAAACCCCGGACCGAACTACCAGTGCTCAGCGACTTTACCGCTCTGTCGCTGGTGGTCCCAACATGTAAGCAATGCAGTGTTTATTCTGAAACAGTTTCATAAGATATAGTTTGTTATCACGAAGGCATCAAGAAGAATTACAACAAAGCATCAATGGCGTAATCAAAGATTTATTTTTCCACCTTAATATAAAGTAGATATTTTATAATTAACTCCATAATTTATAGATGTCAAAAGAATATGATCTTTACAAATTTCGCATTTGATCATATCTGTCAGGCTTCTGAGAATAGTTATCTTTTTTCGACCCATTATGTTTTCGAGACGTTTACCTCTGTGATAGGCTCGGACTTTTATAAGGGGAAAATAATCACCATAAACGCCATCTGTTCCCCTTTAAGAAGTGATTACATTACCATGATTTGAAGCTATTTGAATTTTTTGACCTTCTTCATTTATAACGTCAGGCTTCCATAACAGAAAACTGTTTTCTTCTTTAGCATATTCTGCTGACAACAATTAATATCCTCAGTCTCACTACGCAAAAGTGCTCAAAATAAAGATACATATAAAAATGTCTATTTTTTATGCCATTTTATTTTTTTCCTGTGTTATATATAAATTAAAACTGTCTTACTGTTAAAAAAAACATAGCAATTATTTGTTAAATAGCTCTTATTCTAGATATAAATTAAAACACATTTAAAATATTTCACAAGGCTGGGAAAACCATGGAAATTAATTATTAAATGAGTTTAGCAGTTTTAACACAAGTTCTAATCATTAAATTATATTAAGGGGACTCGTACACCTTAAAACCCATAAGATCTTCGAATAGGTGACTGTTGCAAGAATTGGGATAACTTACTTATTTTAAAAGCAATTACTTCCAACTCTTTACAGCTGACTGCATAATATAGCTGCTTTCTGAAATAGTCATCAGAAAGTTTGTGTTGCCACAAATATTTTTATAATTTAATCCGCTTTGTGACAAAATATTTCGTCATACTTCCACCTTTGCGCGCACAGTTGAAAACATTCTGTTGCATAATTTAATTCCACATTTAATTTGTAGCTTTTATAACATTTGAAAACTACTGTGAACCAAAAATTCTAAGTATTTCATGTTCGATTTTTATTTTATTTGGAGTTGAGTTTATAAAATGTATTTTATTTAAAAAAATTTGTAATGTTTTCGTGCATAAAATTTTTTAGTATTAAAATATTCATCATATTTTTGGTTCACGTAGAAGGTAGTGGCCATATAAAAAATTCCATCTAATTTCAAGTATGTACAATTAACCATTTTTAAAATATCATGCGCGCCAGGTGAAAACATGGCGAAATATTTTGTCACAAAGAGGATTAAATTCGAAAAATATTTGTGGCAACACAAACTTTCTGGTTACTAGTTTCCAGTAGCTATATTATGTAGTCAGCTGTAAAAGGTTGGAAGTAATTGCTTTTAAATTAAATAAAATATCCCAATTCTTGCAACAGTCACATATTCGAAGATCATGAGAGGGTTTAAGGTGTATGAGTCCCCTTAATGGAATTTAGTAGAAATTTTCTTAAAATAAGGATGTATATTTATGGTATATGCTATTAAAATAAAAGCAATCTGTTTAGAATGAAAGTTTCTAAAATACAACATGGAAACTTAAGAATAAGGCGAATTATTTTTAAATAATTTAAAACGAAACATTTTAAGGCTGAGATATTTACAAAAATGGATTCTGTAGGTAGCAAATAACACAAATACCTGATTGATAATAAAGGATATTTGCTGAACATAATAAGAATATAAGAAGAATAATTGTGATAACTATTCTAAAAATTCTAGAAATGGTATTTTTTAATTTTGATATTGTGAAGAGGCTCAGCATGTTTCAATAAATAATAATATGCTCCGGAACAAAGCATGTTACATTTCTCCGTCGAACTGAGGCTGAGGTTAAAATGAAGTGTTTCACCTGCATTCAACACTAAACATACGTTGAATGATGAAAACAATATGATATTTGTTTCGTTAATAAATAAAAGAGTAAACAGGACATAGACACTGCGAAAGAAAATGTTTTGTGATAAATTTATTGAGATTTTTAACAAGTCGTACCGAAAGTTTCCTGATATATCTTTAGAAAACGCTAAACATTTGCCATAAGATGATTGCAAGCTTCCTGAAATTTGAATTAAAAACGTTTTCTTTCAATTGTGAACGAATACTTTGTATGCTAATGCGGATATAAAGCATCTATCTACTGGAAATAAGTCAGTATACTGTTTGTGGGAACTGTATGTGAGAGCATTTATAAATCACGTCGTGCACTTGTATATAATATATGAAAACAATTAAGCTGAAGCTTAAAACCATTCTATATATATGCCAGATTTGAACTTGCATAGTCTTGATAGATTCATAATGAGAAAAAGTACAGAAACAGAGTTTGACTTTAAAAAAACTCTGGTTTACTGGATTTCCATATGTTATTTCTGTGGAAATAGTTAAGGATTTCCATTTCTCTGGAAATATTCAAAGATTGCCGCAAAATATAACCCGCAGTTAAAACATCTGGATAATTTATAAGATTA